TGAAAATGATGAGGGCAATGAATGTACAAATATGCTTTACACAATTGATATATGTATGGATTGTGATAAGAGTTGTATGAGCCGCTAATAAAATGATTTTTTTTTAAAAGAAGAAAATGTACAACCCTCAGGAACTCTATATTGGATTGCTATAGCAATGTTTTTTTTTAATGGTTTTTTGATTTAGACATTTTTTTCTGGACTGTTTTAGATAAAGATAATGAATATGTAGTATAATATTCTGTGAATTTTTATTGACATTCTATAATGCAAATGTTGTTAGGTATTGTTGAATTGGTTCCTACTCATAGTAACCCTATGTACAACATGATAAAACCTGCATTCTTTATAACAGATAGGAAAAGCTGAAATTATTATTTTGTATTTTAAGTGAACTACATCAGAGAATAGTATACAAACCAAGGAATGTAATCCTGAAAGCTACTCATTTCTACATACCTTTGGGACCAGGTGGTCCAGGAAGACCGATTCCAGGAATACCTGGTTCTCCTTTGTTACCAGGTATTCCTGGCAAGCCTGGCTGGCCTGGGGGTCCAGGGTCACCTATAGAGAAAGGATATTGTTTTGAAAGGGAAAGTGTCAAATAAGAAAGCCAAGAAGTGTTGAAAACGTAATGAAATGAATCCCTTGCATACCTGGAAGACCTACTTCACCATCTCTGCCTGGGGCACCAGGCAGACCAGGGGTCCCTGGCTGAGTTATGGTCTGACCTGGATCACCTTTAGGACCTGAAAACGAAGGGAAATTCCCGGTGATTGATCAGTGCTCTTGTGACTACAGTTTTCTTTTAATTAATAACAACAATAAAAAGAAAAACACAGATAATCTTCTAAAGATTTACAGAAACTAAAAAAAATCTACAGAAAAAAATCATCTCACTTTACATAGTCAAGGAAACTATTAAGCAGCCTGTTATCAGACAGAGAACATTGCAAGGTCCATTATGGCCAATGTAGTTAAGTCAAAATAGAATTTCTTATCATTTGATCTCCCTTTTGACCCATTTTAAAGCTGTTTCCGTTAAAAAAAAAAAAGTGAAGGGGCAATACACGTGCATTTAGCCCCTGGTGAATCCTCTCTGACGATGGACCAGGAATGTGAACAGCCTTGCTAACATGCAGAATCCATTGGAAAGTGGATTGTTCAGCAGATGCAGTTAGGTCACCATTTAGAACCCTGTGATTTGATCTCCATTCTTATCTCTAGTTTTTAATATTTTCTGCTTTCTTTCCAATGAGGTTTTTATCTTCACTGCTTTGTAATTCTTGTTAGTTTTTGTTAGTTTTCCTGTATATGAGATCCAGGATAGGCACGTTTATAGAGACAGTAGATGGATTCATGGTTCCTTGGGGGTACGGCAGGGAAGGTTGGGGGAAATGGAGACCTAATAATGATGAGTACAAAAATGAAGAAAATGTTCTAAACCTGATTGTGGTGGTGAGTGTACAAGTCTTCTTGATGTGATTGAACTATTGAATTGTGTGATATATGACTCATCTGCCAGTAAAATTGTGGGGGGAAAGTAAGTGAAAGCTTAGTGCTTCTATCATTGAAGGTTGTATCTCTAAAAATATTTTGAAAATGTGGGTCAAAAGAGCCTGAAAATCCTATTAAACTGTAGTAAACCAGTAAAAAAATACTTTCTGACCAACAAACATATGGTACTTTGAGGCTATTTAGGTGTAAGTTCAATGTATTACCTACTTCTCACTCGTTAAAATTTGCACTGGAAAAGGGCTCAGAATAAAGAAGGATGCCTTAATTGTGACACAAAAAAACACTAACTAGGAGAGGAAACAACCCTGATCAATTTTACTGCATTCCAATTGATTTTGTTCACTAAAAAATTTTGCTAAATGCATAGCTGATAACAAATTCATACACAAAATATATAAAGAAGTCTAAATCAATTCTTTAATAAGAAAGAAGGCAAAGATTTCCAGGGAAGCTAGATTAATGGAAATAGAACAGGCAGAAAATTCATATCTACCCTAGGCCAGGGGATTGTCTAAGTTTTTCTGTAAAAATCCAGGCTTTGTGGATTTTACGGTAGGTTTTGTGGGCTATGTGGTCTCTGTCACAACCACTCCATCTTGCTTTTGTAGTTGAAAAACAACCGTAAAACTCAATACATAAAAATAAGTGATGGGCTGAATTTGGCCCATGGGCTACATTCTCCCAAACCCAGTCCAAAGTAAGTTTGTTCATGTGTGTACCAAGATATGTGTATATGTGAGGGGATTTCAAAAAGTTCATGGGGAAAATGCCATTTTCTTTTGATTCAATTTTCTCACACACTTTTTGAGCCCCCCTTGTATACATCACACACATTAATGCTCATAGAAGTATTATTCATAATAAACTTAACTCTAAATAACCCAATTGTCCATTAACAATAGAATGGATAATTCAAGTGTAACACACACAGAGACACACACACATATAAACACACTCTACTACCAGAAAAAAAAAACTCACTGTCAGAGTGTCAATGCTGACTCATAGCAGCCCCTTGTGGGTTTCTGAGACTGTACCTGTTTATGAGAGTAGAAAGTCCAGTCTTTCTCCCGAGGAGTAGCTTCTGGTGGTTTTGAGCTGCTGACTAAGTGGATCATAGTCTTACTCGTAATCACTATACCACCAGGGCACACACTTACACATACAGACATGCACAACTTCAAAAAGTTCATGGAAAAATTGAATGAAAGAATAATGGTATTTTCCAAGAACTTGTTGAAGACCCCGCCTACTTCCACAAGAGCGCAAGATAACAGGTAAATACTATTATAAAAATAATTAAATTAATAGGAAAGAAAGGTACTACAGTTACATACAGCATAGTTGACTCCTACAATGTTAATATAAAGAATATTTACTCAATGAGTCAATAAAAATGAGGTTCTAAAGAATCAAAATTTAAGTTCTTTGTTTTAAGCATGCATGGGTAGGTGATAAACTGGAGTGGGAGGATAGTGGGGAATTATGCACAAATCAGGACCAGACTTAGTGCTGGAGAAGAGAGAGGGGGTTGTGATAAGTGAATGACTACGGGGAGGAAGGTGAAGGGTTTGTTGGATGCTATCAATGTTCTATGCCTTCATCTGCATGTTAGCTACATGTGTGCCTCCATTATAGTTATGTGTTAAAGTTTTCAGTATTTATCATGGACTTAAATATATCAGGAAGAAAAATGATGCAAAGGAATTTTAGGGGGAGGACATCCCTCCCCTTAACAAAACATGCTGTGTCCCCCCTTACTCAGAAGCCTTAAAGGGTCCAGCTATAATTGACCTGGGAAATACATCTCAGCCTAAGAAGGCTAAACATGGCCCCCAAGTAATCCAATTTTTATTTGAAGCACCAAATTAAAACAAACCAAACCCCCCAAAAAACAAGGTAAACTGTCAGAGTGAACTCACCTGGTATTCCTGGCTGACCTGGATTTCCTGCCACACCTTGTATGCCTTTTTCACCTACTGGGCCTGGAGGGCCCAAACCAGGAGGACCCATAAGCCCTCTAGTCCCTGGGAGACCTGGTAAACCTGGGTTCCCAGGGGGACCTCTTTCTCCCTTAAAAGCAATTCCACCCTGAAAAGGGAAAAGATTAGTATAGAACAAGAACATAATAACAGCTATCTACAGGCTGGTACGAGGGACTACAACTAGGTTAAAAATGTAGCCATAAATAGTTCTTCCTAAAAGCTAGGTAAATGAGGGGTATTATCAGATGTTACTGCGATCACTCCAATCAGCCATTTATTCATTCATCAAATGTTTCTGAACTCCTACTATGGTGCCAATGCTAGTTAGAACAGCAGAAGACAAAGAATAGACAAAAAATGTCTATCCTAGTGGACTTGACATTGTAGTTTAAGTGAAGAAAGTTACCACCAGTCTATCATTCCTAGCTAAATATCGCAGGCTTTGTGTTGTGCCCCACATGCGATTTTGTTCATTTCTATTCAATCCTCCTGCACTGTAGCTCAGTTAGTGTGGCCATCTACTCATACTCATTTCTAAGCTTAACATTTCTGTTGTGGAGTCAATTCTGACTGAAGCGCACTATAGGAGTATACGAAAGCCAAGTTAGATTTCTAGTTGTCAGATCTAAATAAGCCCAGATAAGAAAATGTAGGGTAAGAAAGGGAGAACATCATCCTGATGTCTAAGAGATTATTACAAAACAAGCATCTTACCTCCTACCCACTTATTCATAGCCAAAATGACTACATATATAAATGAGATTGGAAGGGAAAGATTAGAAAGAACTCAGGGAATCCAGGACAGGTGAACCCCTCAGGACCAGTGGTGTGAGTGGCGATACTGGGAGGGTGGAAGGAAGGTGGGTTGGAAAGGGGGAACTGATTACAAGGGTTTACATGAAACCTCCTCCCTGGGGGATGAACAACAGAAAAGTGGGAGGAGGGAGATGTTGGACAGTGTAAGATATGAAAAAATAATAATTTATAAATTATCAAAGGTTCATGGGGGAGTAGAGAGCGGGGAGGGAGGGGAAAAATGAGGAGCTGATACCAAGGGCTCAAGTAGAAAGCAAATGTTTTGAGAATGATGAGGGAAACAAATGTGCAAAAGTGCTTGACACAATGGATGCATGTGTGGATTGTGATCAGAGTGGTACAAGCCCCGAATAAAATGATTTAATTATTAAAGGAAAATAAAGAACTGAGAGGAAGGAGCAGTGAGGAAACCAATAACAAGGTACCATTTACTATATAGAACCACATTCTCCTAAGAATTGATTGGTCATCTCAGCACCAGTGCCCTCCTTTGCACTCACTGAGGAAAGCATTCATAGGTGATAGTTTTTAATATCACATCAACTCACAGGTGCTCCTTTTGGACCAGGAAGCCCGGGCAACCCATCCTGTCCAGGGGTGCCAGGCAAACCAGGAAGGCCTGGGGTTCCAGAGGAACCCATCTCTCCTTTGTCACCCTTCATTCCTGGAAAAGTGAGGATGTCACCAGGTTCACCTTTGGATCCAGGAAAGCCTGGAGTGCCTCGAGTGCCTGGTATGCCCTAAGGTAGTGCGGGGGGCGGGGGAGAAAAAAGGAGAGAGTAAAAAATCACTTTCTTTCAACTAATGTTACCATCTCTCTAGTTTACCTCACCTACTCACCCTCTATCATTTAATACACAAAGCATTCAATCAAATGACACATGTGGGTCAGGGCGGGAGCAGGAATGAAACAAATCACAATTTAATAGAAAAAATATAGTTTTTTTCTATACAAGGCAACAAATCAATTCCTACCTGACTTCATTTGCTTTCTGTTCAACAATACGATTAATACTTACTGGCAATCCTTTGGGACCAGTTGCACCAGCATGTCCTTTGTCTCCCTTCTGTCCAGGGAAGCCAAGAGATCCTAACACACACACACACACACACACACACACACACACACACGCACACACGCACACGCGCAGAGAGAGAGAGAGAGAGAGAGAGAGAGAGAGAAAGAACTGTAAGTTTTGAGCTTGAAGCACTGACAAAGCTCATATAGCTGTCCGCAAGCTAGGAAGTCAAGTTTTCAAAAAAGTCCACAAAATACCATTTAACAAGTGACATTTTAATTTGCATATTTTATGATGTGAAAATGAGGATATAATATCTTCTTTTAGCCCAGCCTAAATTCTCATGTTACAAGAGTGTCTCCTTCAAGTATTTCCAAATCCAAAGCCTCTGAGAACTTGCTGTTACTAAACATGGTGGGTTAGGTGCTGGGTTACTAACTTCAAGGTCAGCAGTTTAAATTGACCAGCCTCTCAGCAGGAGAAAAATGAGGCTCTCTACTCCTGTAAAGGATTATACGCTAGGAAACTCGCAGGGGGCAGTTCTGCTCGACTTCGATGGCAGTGAGATGCTTTGAGAGAAGCGCCTTGCACAGAGGTGCTCAAGTTGCCCCCATCAACCAATTTCCAAGGGGAGATGAACACGATAAAAAAACGTGAGCACATCTTTCTTTGTCCTGACTTATACAAATTATCTGTCCTCTCTTGGATTTGTCGTGCCCACAACTTCTGTTTATAAGAAATATTTGGTGCCGCCAAAGTAGAGGAAACCTTATTAAAGCAGTAATTCTCCAAATGAAGCCCCTGGATCAGCAGCATCTGGGAAATGGTTAGAAATGCTGATGCTTGGGCCTCATCTGAGGCCTAACAAACTAGAATCTTTGGAGCAGGGAGTCTAGGGTTACAAGATTCAATGAGCTCTCCAGGTGATCCTAGTGTTTACAAAAGTTCCAGAACAACTAGACTTGAGGGTCCATGACTTAAGGTTCCTGGCTTGCAGTGGTAGCTTATAACCAAAAACCAATTGTCACGGAGTCAATTCCAGCTGATGTCTATTCCATGTATGTCAAGTATACCTGTGCTTCAAAGGGTTTTCAGGGAATGATTTATCAGAATTAGGTCACTAGGCTTTTCTTCAAAGCACCTCTGGGTGGACACGAACCTCTATGCTTTTGGTTAGCATTAAGTACTTTAACTATCTGCACTGCCAGGGAGTAGAATGGCAGTTCCATGACTTGCTAAACATTTGTTTGCAAGCTCCGAATGAATTTGTGTCCTTGGCAAATGCATTAGGCAGAAAGATAAGAATCTAGTATCGAGGTTTAGTTCTGACACAGACATAAGAGTGTTATTTCAAGAGAAAATAATAGTGGGATATTTTAAGACACAGTCGAATAAAATGTGTGTGGTACTGATAGATAACGAATATGGTTTTTTTCTAGAAACAGGGAGGGAGAAATTTATAAATAAATATGTATATATATGTGTGTGTGTATATATATAGATAGATAGATAGATAGATAGATAGATAGATAGATAGATAGAGAAACATTGGCAGTTGGTTGTCAAAACTCCAGTAGACGCCTTGCTTCTTATGTTAAATACTTTTATTGCAGGCTCTTACATCTCTTATCACAATCTACTTCTTAATAACAAAAACCAAACTTTCTGCCATCGAGTAAATTCGGACTCATAGTGATGCTATAGAATAGGGAAGAATTGCCCCTGTGAGTTTTTGAGACTGTAACACTTTATAGGAGTAGAAAACCTCATCTTTCTCCCTTGGAGCTTGCTGGTGGATTTTAATTGCTGACCTTGTGGTTAGCAGCCCAATGTATAACCACTACACCACCAATGGCAATATGTGCTATATTTAAATCCAATGTCAAGAAGCTCTGCCAATGGAAACTATACTCAGAGGCCATGCATTGTGAACACCCCCTCCTCCCAGCTTGCTGGAAAAAAAGTTGGACTCTGTATAAGTTGTTTTCCTCTCCCTATGGAAAATATTAAAAAATTGGGGGGAGATAATACTGTCAAAATAACAGAAAATGTTGGTAGCTTCAGGTACTAGAAATAAGAATGCAGTGTATTTTTTTGTAGTTTGGTGGGCGGGGGGAACCTCACTTCCTTTGAGTCTATTCTAGCTCATAGCAAACGTGCAGGACAGGGTAGAACTGCCCCTGTGGGTTTCCAAGGCCGTGCTATTTATGAAAGTAGAAAACCCAGTCTTTCTCCTGAGGAGCAACTGGTGGTTTCAAACTGCTGACCTTTTGACCAACTCGTAACCACTTGCCATATCTTATTTAATTATCTATGGGTGTGTACGATTAGATCTAAAATGAGAAACTGGCATCATTTCAAATTACAATATTAACAAAATATAAACAAGAAGCCTTTTAAAAAGTTGCTACGAAACAGAATGTTTTACCTTGAGGACCTGGGAGACCTGGCAAACCAGGTGGCCCTGGAGGTCCTGAAATTCCAGTCCCAATACAATTGAAGCAGGTGTCTCCTTTGTCACCTAGAGAAAATGATAAAAACAAATGTCTCTGTAAGGGGTTTGTGTACTATCTTTAGGGAAGTTAGCACTAAGGGATAGTATTCCCATCTAATCTGGTTAGAGAAGCCTATTTCTATAATCAATTCATTTGACCAATATTACTGAGTGCTTAAACTGTGTGCCAAGCAGTGTTCCAGGTGCTTATGATCTATTAGTGAACAAAACAGACAAAAACCCATCCCTTCTAAGACTATTGTCCTGGTACGCTTTAAACATTAAGCCAAATTATCCCTTGAAGTCACTTACTCACTAAATAAGAGATTGGCTCATAAAATAAAGAATATCACCTGTGTGTAATGAACTCCTTTAAAACAATTATGCATATGAGACAAAATCGTTCAAAAATTACTTTAAAGCAAAAATGAGAAGGTAAGGGGGCAGAGAAATTAGAGTACTTGAAAAGGTACAACCAGATAGGAAGAAATGAGCATAGACACCTCTCCTAAAATATATCACTGAATAATGTGCATAGAAATTGTTAAGAATCTACTTGGTAAAAAAAAAAAATCTACTTGGTGGTATTAACTTTTCCCTTAAACGCAATAAAATATTATTTAAGAAAAAAGAAATAATTGCAACCACCCCTATCCCTCAAAATCCATGTCTTCATGGAGCTTACATTCTACAGGGATAAGGAATAATAAACAATTAAGTTGTCTGTATAGTAAAAGGTGTTGTGCTTATAGGAAAAAAAAACATTAGAGCTAGAAAAATGGGATGAGATTCATGGTCATGAGTTAGAGTTGACTTCAAGGCAAGGGATGAAGTAGGACTGGGTAGGTCAAGGATGGATCAACAGTTTAAATTTAAAATACGATGGTCAGGACTGGTGTGGAGAAGATGACATATGATTAGATAAAAGAACAAGCAGGTAAAGGACATAATATAAACATATTAGTATATAACATTCCATGCCACATTTGGAACACACAAGGAGCAGCAAGGAAAACAGATTGCAGAGATAAAATAAGAATGAGGGACCACGTCAGAGAGTTCATGGATTATAAAGAGTAGGAGATAATTAAAGGTTTTATGGATCATGGTAAAAACTAATGTTTACAGTGAGTGAAAGAAAAATACAGTAAAGGATTTTAAATAGAAAAGTAACGTGATATGTCTTAAATTTTGAAAGGATAACACTGGATGCTAGGTTAAGAATAGACACTGAGAAGACATAGATGGAAACAGCGAGGGAGACTTGTTGCATGTCTATTGTCACAGTAATCTATGAGATTGATGATGATAGCTAATCTCAGGCTATAGCAATGAAGGTGATGGAAATGATTTAGATTTGAACAGAGAGCCCATGGGATTTTCTGATAGATTGTATGTGAGATACAAAGGAGGGGGAGAATCAAGGATGAATTCAAGGTTTTTAGTTTAAGCAACTAGAAGGCTAGAGTTGCCAGCCTGTCTTCAACTAAGAAGGGGAATAGTGTGAGTGGACCCATTATGGAGGAAGTGGTAACAGGGATCAGGACTTCAATCCAACCATGAAGGTCAAGTTCAAAGTGTGTATCCAAATGAATATTCTAAATAGAGAAGACAGCTATTGACTATATAGTTCTTGAGGCAAGGAAACTTGTTTGGACTCAAACTCCAAACACCAAATTCATGCCATCAAGTCAATTCTGACTTGTATGAACCCTATAGGACAGGGTAGAACTGCCCCTGTGGGTTTCTGAGACTGTAACTCTTTACCAGAGCAGAGAGCCTCAACTTTCTCCCACAGAGCATCTGGGAGTTGTGAACTGCTGACCTTGTAGTCAACAACCCAACATAAAACCCCTATGCCATGAGGGATTCTGGCTGTGTTTGGAGTAGAGATATAAATTTGGAAGTCACTGGCAAGTAGATGGCGTTGAAGGTCATGAGATGAATGAGTTAGATAAGAAGAGAAGAGAAACAAGGATAGAGAATTCTGTGGCATTTCAAAATTAAGAGTTGGGCAGATAACTTTAAAATGTGTACAGAAATGCAAAATACCTAAATACCCAAGAAGTATTATAACAAAAACCCAAACCAGATCCACTGCCATTGTGGCTCCTATGTAGTTTTCAGAATTTGAAATCTTTACTGGAGCAGACAGCTTCTCTCTCACGGGCTTGAACCATTGACCTTGCCATTAGCAGGTCAAAATCAAACCCACAAATATCTAACTAAGGCTTCAAGAGTTACAATAATTAGATAGTCTAGCAATTAGTGCAATGAAAAACAAACAGACCAGTGGAACAAGTGGTAAGAATCAGGATCACTTAATTTACCACAGAAATGTTGATGCAATTCAGTGGAGTAATGAAGGTCTTTTACTATGGAACTGAGTCAATTGGATAGGAGGGGGGAAAAAGGACTGATCTTTGCTTTGCACTATACACAAAATTTAGCTGAAAATAACTAACTATGAAAGGAAAAATAATAGAGAAGCAACCAAAAACAACTGAGAAGCAAACCTACTTTTATTCTATAAACCAGCAATTCCATTCCCAGATATATTATCCAACAGAAATGGGTTATTAATGCCTTACCAAAAACATGCACAAGAATGTTCATAGCAGCTTTATTCTTAACAGCCCCAGTCCAAATGTCCAACAACATTAGAGTTGATATTGTGCTAAATCCAAACAATAGAAGACTACACTGCACAGAAAAATATCGTTGCACACAGATCATGACAGTTATCTCCCAAAAAGACTACTAGTCAAAAGAAGCCAGACAAAAAGGGTCCATACTGCATGAATCCATTTGTACCAAGTTCAAGACGAGAAAAATCAGAGTTTAAAAACTAGAGCCTGGAGAGTGAGGTTCCCGCAAGCATAGATTTCTGATGAAAAGATGTTTACCTTCCATGGAGTTTGAGAGATGTGAGGCCTTAAAAACTTCCACTGGGTGAGAACGGGAAGATGGCCACCAGATAGGTAGCTCACACCCGGAGCTCTGAGGAGATTGGGAGGTATGGAGAGTTGGGGGCGGAGTAGGGGTACCAAATTTGTCTGTTCGATTCCCAAGACCACTCAGAGCATCTCTCAGATCCAGAGGTGGACTCCCACCCATAGCCAGGGCTCCGCGCGGACACCTGTGGTCTCTGGTTCGGAGCTCAATGTGCCCGCTCTGCCAGGACCTGCGCAGCCAGGTGCTAGGCAGAGGCTGCGCCCCGCCTCGGCACTCCATGCAAAACCACCAGTCAGGAAACCCCACCCCGCCTCAGGGAGCCCAGGGCCTGTGTGTGCTCCAACCAGCATACTCCCCCACCCCCTGCAGACTCGGGCCCCACCCGCGCATCCCTCGCAGTCCAGCAGGTCAGACCCTCCCCCCTTCTCCCCGGAGGTGTGCCCCCAGCACCACAGCCAGGTGGAAAGTAGAGACTAAGGACCTGCCTCTAGGCTCCACGCAAACCGCCAATCAGACCTTACCGCATGCTCAGAGGTCACAGCCCAGAGGAGCCCACACCATTACTGAGCTCCTTGCAGATCCGCCAGCCATCCCCCTCCCTGGGTCTCCCCCACCCACCTGAACCCCTATACACATGCATGCCCGTGCACATGCACGCGGACACACACATGCACTCAGTGATTCCCATTCTGCCACACCGCTGCAGGCTGGCCAGGCAGAGGACCCAAGGCTGGCAGAACTTTCTGCAGCTGCGGCATACGAACCCAATCTTTGGGGGCTTTATCACTGCATTCTACCTTCTCCCTGCTCACTCTGTCCCACCCTTTCGGCTCCAAGCGGTGCATTTGCAAACCAGTCGCGGGCCCCCTCCCACCTGCCTATCTGAGGGAAGTGCCCCTAGCCAGAAACAGATCACCCAATCCCCAACCCATCCCCTAAATATACTCCCCTGCACAGGAGCCAATACTTTCTATCAGACTGCAGCTTTCACAGCTGCAAAAAGCCCCTAAGGAGGCATGAAGGTGGCTGGAGCACAAACCATAGGAGAAGGCTAAAAGGAATCCCCAACAGGACAAAGGTGATGCACAACCCCTCAAGGCAGCTGGCTAAAGGCAGCCAGCTGAAGCACCAACCTCCCAAAGAGAGCTCAGGGCTCTGAGACACCTGGGAAAATTGCATCAAGTGCCCACAAATAGAACAAAAAACAGCAAACTGCTTCCACAGCTTCAACAAGAAAAGAGAAAGAAAATACAATGCCAGAGGACCACCTGGACGTAACAGCAGTCATACGAAGGGCAGAGGTTGACCTCCCACAGAAATAAATCTTCAGAATGCTGCTTGGAGCCATACAGGACATGAGGGAAGCATTATAGAAAAATGATGAAATGATAATGGAATTAAAGGCTATGCACCAAAGGGAAATACAGGAGTTAAAGGGCGAGATAACAGAAACTAACAACAGCAAACTCACCGACTTCGCCCAGAGGATGAAGGAGGCAGAAAACCTTACCAGTGACCTAGAGGATTCACAAGCCGAAATTAATAAATGTGAGAAAAAGTCTAACAAGTCCATCAGAGAAGCTGAAGAAAACCTCAGAGCTATGCCTGACGCTATGAGAAGGATCAACCTCAGAATTATCGGTGTGGAGGAAGAATCCACATCAAGGAAACCAACATCCAAAATAGTGATGGAATGTTTGGAGGAAAACTTTCCTAACTTAATTAACGAAAACCAGGCAACTATCCAGGAGGCTTAAAGAGCACCAGCTAGACTGAATCCCCAGAAGAAGTCACCAAGACATATAGTTGTTAAACTATCCAGCTATGAGGAAAATGAGAAAATCATGAGAGCAGTTAGAGGAAAAACAGGAAACAACATATAAAGGCAAGCAGATAAGAATATGCTCAGACCTGTCAGCAGACACTATGAAGAAGAGGAGACAGTGGAGCAGCATATTCCAAACATTGCAGGAAATTAACGCAAACCCAAGAATACTCTATCCCGCCAAACTACCTATCAAAATAGATGCAGAAGTGAGAGTCTTCCTGGACAAGGAAAACCTCAAAGAATA